CGGAACAAAAAAAAAAAAAAAAAAAAAAAAACCAAAAACAAAGCCCTTCATAGCTGTATTATGCATAATAGTGAAATAGTGAGCCAAAATAGTGTTATCCAAAAAGTGAAACAGCTCACATATCCATCAAATGATGACAGATAAATAAAATGTGGTACATCCATTCAATGGAATATTATTTGGCAATCACGCTCTAACAGGAATGAACCTTGAAAACATGATGCTCAGGGAAAGAAGCCAGTCATAAAAAACCACACTGTACAATTCAATTCATATGAAATGTCCCAAATAAGCAAATCTACGAAGACAGAAAGTAGATTAGCAGTTCATCTAGGGCTGAGGGTGAGGGGGTGGAAGGCATGTGGCTAGAAGGAAAAGGAGTGACTATGAATGGGTATGGGGTTTCTCGTTGGGGTGATTAAAAAGTTCTAAAATTGACTGCACTATGGTCGTACAGCTTTGTGAATATACTAAAAACCATTGATTGTACACTTTATTTTTTTTAATTTTTTTAATTTTTTTTTCGGTACACGGGCCTCTCACTGTTGTGGCCTCTCCCGTTGCAGAGCACAGGCTCCGGACGCGCAGGCTCAGCGGCCATGGCTCACGGGCCCAGCCGCTCCGCGGCATGTGGGATCTTCCCAGACCGGGACACGAGCCCGTGTCCCCTGCATCGGCAGGCGGACTCTCAACTAGTGCGCCACCAGGGAAGCCCTGATTGTACACTTTAAATGGATGCTACATGAATTATAACTCAATAAAGCCATCTGAAAAAACCAAAAACAAAAACTCAAGCCCTTGAAAATTTAAAAAAAACACTACCTTAAATACACTTGGATAAAAGAAAAATTGAAACTATAATTACAGAACATTTAAAGATATCACTGAGTACACTATACATTAAAACACGTAGGATACAACAAAAGCAGCAATTAGATGGAAATATATACCCTTAACTGTTTTCCAAATGAAAGTAGAAAGAATAATATATATACAAATAAGCCAATAATTTGTTTACAATAACAAAACAACTTAAGGAAAGCAGAAGAAATGAATTATAAAAGACAAAAGCATAAATTCCATATTTTGTCAAATTTAGGATGTCATCTATTATAAATTTAGGATGCACCATAATTTTATGTATCACTAAGAAAAACTGCTGCCAATTAAACAATGTCACAATGCTATGCTTTGTTAGCATCAATTGAAAGATGCATCCCAATTTGAGAGATTTAAAAATGTGGAGAAAAAAAGCACATCCTAGACTAATGGAATATAGTAAATTAGAAAGCAGGAAGACAATGTGACTGATAAACAAATAAGAAGTCTAATTCTTTGGAAAGACCAACAGACATACCTCTGGCAAAAAGCAAATTAAAAAAAGAAAGAGAAAACAAAAATGCAAACAATTAGGAATGCAAAGCAAATATAACCATACATACACGGGAGGTTAAAATTTATAGTGATTATATAAAACCCTATGCTCAAAAAATTTAAGTGAGGAAAAACTTTATGCTAATAATTTCGAAAACTTGGGTCAAATGGACATTTTATACTAACATTAAGTTTTCCAAATTAGCTTTAAAAGAATTAGAAAATTAAATACACAATGCTCATAGAGGACAGTTAAAAGTTGTCAAAAATGTATCTCAAAAAACTTACACTAGATTTCTGAAAATACTAGGAGTCACTTCCATACAACCTTTATTTCCCTTGTTCTTAATACTATTTTATATCATAAAGAGAGAAAATTTTCATAAAATTACTGTAACTGTGAAAAACCAAACCACAAGAAATATTTTTCACTTGTCAAACCGGCAAAGGAAAAAAAAAAGAAAGGAAAAGAAAAAAAAAAGCACAATGAAAATACACAGCATTTTTGCACATGGGGAAAATAGGCAATTTCTTCCCCTTCTAATGAAAATATAAGTTGTTACAACCTCTCCGGAGAGTGTTTTGAAGTATACATGAAAAGGCACACAATTTTGCAAAGTTTTGACCCAGTAATCACACCTCCAGGAATTTATTACAAGGTAATAATCCTAACTATATAGGTGATTTTTGCAACAGGGATGCCCACTGCAAAATTTTAATAGCAAAAATGTATAGACAAATGTCAATATTAGAGAGATTCCAGTTGGACAAATCCATGTGATGGGACTGAGTCATAGTATAGAAATGCAGGTAATAACATTAAATGTTCACGACAGAGTAAACATACAGATTTTATATGCATCCAAACGAATGAAAAGACATGAAGCAAAATAGTGATTGTCTCTAGGTGGGATAGCAAATGATACTAATTTTCTTCTCTTCCAAGTTCCTTGCAATAAACATGTATTATTTTCGAATCAGTAAAATCAATAATCATTATAATAATTCTGTTGGAACAAATCTTATATATTAATAATGTCCAGAGAATCAGAAGAGAGCGGTTTGGGCCTGAGTTCCCCCAGTTCAAGAAGATGTGGATAAACCAGTAAGAGTCCTGTGACCCTTCTGAGCTGCAGGCTGGGGAGGCTTGGGATTCACAGATCATTTGTATTAGCAGCAGAATATCCCTTGTTTCAAGACCCTCATCAGGAAATTCCCATCTTTAGGAAGTATCAATAGCCTGTTCTAACCCAAGGAGCCGCAACCAATCACCTCTTTATCCATGGCCCATGCTGCTTCATGGAAATTTCTCAACTAGAAATTGTAAAAACATCTTATCTGGCAGTGAGCAGGTTTCTTAAAAAATAATAATCCAATTCAGACTCCTACCTAGATAGGGAATACTGGGAACCATCTTCAGGCTTCGGATATATTCCCGAGTCCGCTTGTAATTATCTTCTTTAGACATCAGGTAGTCCAATTTCTCAAAGGTGGTCTTGTCTTTTCGATTCAACAGCTGGAGTGAGAAAAAAAAGAGTATGAGAGAGAAGAGAGATAAACTGGAAGAAGCAAAAGAGAAAGGATAGCTGCAGATGAAAACTAAAAGGAAATGTCCTAAATGGCACGTCTATGATATGCAGAATCCTGGGCACAACTAAGGATTTTAAGGTGCTGTTTCATGTAGAGATGGAGTGTTTCATAGCCTCGACTTTGTCATTTTTCATAGAGTCTCACACTTGGAAGATACCCTCCAAAGCTACCTAGTCCCTTGTTCTAGATGATGCCAGAATCCCCTGCATAGCACCCACCTTCACGGCGCATAGACCCTACAACAGCAAGGAGCCCAGAGAGTAAAGCAAATTGCTCAAGGTCACCTAGGGCTATTTCACAGTCACATCAGGTCTCTCTCTCCCTGTGTCCACAGAGAGCTTCTTGCTCTCTCCTCAACATCTCTGCCATTGCTGAAGGCCCTGGAAGATCTCACACGCTTCACCTGCGTATGCTGTACACATAGCCAGGCCATCTCTCCAATCTGGTCTATCTCCTCCAGATTCCCTGTGGTCTATGACTGTGTCATATTTACACTGGGTACGGTGTTCTACTCAAAATAAGCCAAACTTCTTTTCCATATGCAGTCACCTAAGGGGTGATTTAGTTATGCAAATACAGGATGAGCAGGCACCCACTGCCCAGAGATTAGAGAAGTAAGAGCCTTCATGACTGAGATCTCTGGAATGTAAAGCTGGTCACCAGGGAAGGGATGGCTCAGTGTTCATAAGGAGGATTCTTGGAAGAAAGAAATAGAAACTGAATCCTGGTTCTCCAGACTTGATGCTAAGGACTCATGCTGTGGTCATCCTGCAGGTCCCAAGTCAAGGCCCAGGGCCAGGAAATGGCAATAAGTCTCCTTGAATAAAATGGCTTTAAGAAAAGGAGTCTAGGCTGAGAGCAAGCTTGAAAAAGAGAATCTGGGGAAGGACCAGCCAGAGAGGGCTGGCTTTGGCACAGCATGTGGCTGATGTTGGGAACCCCCAAGTTTAGCTTCCAGGGCCAGTGCCTCTGGGATTTGAGATCCATGGCGGAGCCCAGGAGTATAAATGGAGGTGTGGACCCTAGGCCGGGAGCATCCTTGGTCAGGTGTGGTGTTGAGACCCCATGGTCTGTGCAAGGACCGGGACCAGCAGCCCTGTCACATCAGTCAGACTGAGATAGGCCAGTGGTCAACAGCTCCATCATACAGCAGAGAGAAGTAGAACAGTGACTGTCCGGCACCAGGGGAAGCTGGCCTTTTGTACTGAAATAGCCCCTTTGGGTTCCTGGGACCCAGGTCTGCAAATTCCAAACTGAGGCCATGCCTGGTGCACCAGCGAACTCAGGCTGCGTCGGCCAATTCCTTGATCCTCAGCCTCTGGAGTCACAGGGGGTGCAGCCTAGCTGAGCAGTGACAGCTTAAGGACTTCAGAGAGGGGAGGCAAAAGAAAAAGCTGAAAGGAAGGTCCCAGTGCTGAAGAAGTTGGAGAGTAAATAGCAAAAAGCTGTTGTTGTTTTTTTTTTTTCCATTGAGAAATTCAAGACACATCAGGGTGGGGATGCTACACAGATGCTAGGGATGACGGCTGCTTAACTGGCTTGCTAATTTAAGGCTGTTATTCATCACATTAACAAATCGACAGGAAATCACACCATCTCCCATTTGTCTTTGTAAAGTACCGTAACATACAACTCATCTGGTCTTTACAAAGCCCAGGGACAAAAATGGAGCCAGGGTTATTGTCACTATTTCAGGTTCATAATCACAAGGATTAAATGACTTGTCAGAGTATCCTTGGGGAACTTGATTCAGTAGAGGAGAAAAATGTATATTATAGCAACATGGTAAGTAAGTAAATAGAGACCAAGAACCCAGACAAACAACAAGTAAATTATGGGCGAGGGAAGCGTCAAGGAAAGCTGTATAGAGAGAGGCATTTGAAATGAACATTTAAGGATAAGGAATTCACTAAATGAACTACTTATACCCAGATGAGAACCAGATACTCTAGTTGTGAATTGCCCCATTGTAAAGTTGAGCAGGCCCCTCACCTCACCCCCTTGGCTGGCAGGTCATCTCTTTATTAATGAAACCTAGAACCCCACTGAATCCTTTGGCAGTCACCCATGTTCATCCAGCAGTCAAACAAATCCCTATGTTATCCTCACACACACTGCAGCTGAGCCATACTGGTGCCCAATGCTCCCTCCACTGGGTCTCTGGACCCAGCTGAGGGATTGCCCTTGCCCCCTGGCATGTTTGGCCTATCTGCCTAGCCTGTCAAGTGTCTCTATGCATGGCACCACAGAGCTGATCAGCAGGACATCTGTGTCCCGACATAGACATGACCAGGCCAACATGATTCGAGCCCTGGAGGATGTCCCTAAAAATCACCCTGAAGATTGACCTCAAACCAACAACTGGGGTTCTTTAGTGGAGTGGGACAACCAAAGGCAGCCACATTTGCATGCTTCCTAAATTTAAAAACAGGCTCCTCCAGGCCACACCTCTTTCTGTTAACCTTTTCTCTACACACATACTTCCTACCCACCCTCCATCCCTGCCCACACACACTCACACACACATTCAGAAGGGCTGGGACTGGTTAACTACACTCATCTGCTCCATTCTGTGCCCACAAGCGAGATCCAGGATGGCATCAGATTCCTCAATAGGAATGCACAGGATGCTAGAAGACATGAAAAAAGCTCAGAACATCTATCTCCCATGCAAGCATTTGAATACTACTTGAGAACTTCCCCCAGCAAAATGAAAAGAATAAACCAAGTCCAGGAAGATATGGGATATAGGAAACAGTGGACCCAGTCCAGCAGTAGTAAATGGAGATGACAAATAAACAGCAAGACTCAAGAATGACTGGTCTACACCTATCAAGCCCAGAAATGTCTCCAGCAGAGAAAGAGAAGTCTTGATAGAAAACCTGACAGAACAGCACATTGCGGGGGGGGGGGGGGGGGGGGGCGGGGGGGTTAAATTTTT